TCCCTTATAATTCCATGTGAATCTTAAGATCAGCTTTTCTGTCTTTGTAAAAAAAAAAAAAAAAAAAAAAAACCATTGGGATTTTGATAGGAGTTACACTGAATCTGTAAAAAACACTTCAATTAGTATTGCTATCTTAACAGCATCATCTTTTAATCCATGAACACAGTGTATTTTTCAATTTATTTGGGATGTCTTTAATTTTTTAGCAGTGTTTTATAGTTTTTGTTTGTTTGTTTGTTTGTTTGTTTTTAGATGGAGTCTTGCTCTGTCGCCCAGGCTGGAGTGCAGTGGCACCATGTCGGCTCACTGCAAGCTCCGCCTCCTGAGTTCGCACCATTCTCCTGCCTCAGCCCCCAAGTAGCTGGGACTACAGGTGCCCACCACCACGCCTGGCTAATTGTTTTGTATTTTTAGTAGAGACAGCATTTCCATATTAATATGCAAATTGATGGAACCCATATGGCCCTGGCAGAGGCAAAAGAAAACTCATTCTGAAGAACTAGAGCACACACAGGAAATGAACCACAATGAAGGAGAAAGTCCTTCTGTACTGAGGATAGGCAAATTAGCTTCCCAATAGCTGGAATTGCAAGGAAAGTCTGAAAGATTCTATAAAATAGTGATGAAAGAAGATACAGAAATTAAAAAGCAAGAGAAGGGTAGTATGTAAGAACAGGTGGATTTGGAAGAAAAATAAAACATATAGACATGAAAAGTCCAGTGATTTAAATTAAAACATATTGGAAAATTTTAAGGTAGTTTAGATAAAGCTGAAGGGAGAAGGGGAATGAAAAACATGGAAGCAATTTAGGGATGTGGAAGATAGAATGAGATCGATATGGAGATACTGTAGATAGAAGCTCCAGGAGAAAGTAAAATAGAGAATGGAGGGGAGGCAGGAATCTCAGTGTTTTCTGTAAGTGAAGGTCCACAAACGTTCAAGCTGTTGTAGCTTTCCAGACCTGAGCAGCTGAACAGGATATAAAAACGTATTCCTGGCTAACACGGTGAAACCCCGTCTCTACTAAAAAATACAAAAAACTAGCCAGGCAAGGTGGCAGGCGCCTGTAGTCCCAGCTACTCCGGAGGCTGAGGCAGGAGAATGGCATGAACCCGGGGGGCGGAGCTTGCAGTGAGCTGAGATCCGGCCACTGCACTCCAGCCCAGGCAACAGAGCGAGACTCTGTCTCAAAAAAAAAAAAAAAAAAAAAAAAAAAAAACAACCTATAACCAGTCATACTAAATATTGTCATGAAACTATAGCCCATCAAAGACAAAGGGAATTATTGTAAAAGCAACCAGAAGGAAAAGACAGATTCCCTGCAAAAAATGGCAACCTGAGTAAGCTTCAGTGCTGAAGACAGCAAGAGATGGGAAAATCAGAGTTGTGTGTTCTGAAGTGTTTGCATTATTATTCAAGAAGGGGGTTAAATTATTTTCTAACTTTTGACCTTGTCAGATATGAAGGCTAGAAATGTAAGGGTGACCACTGAAATAAATAATAAAGTATTCCTTTAAACCAAAAAAAAAAAAAAAGCAAAAAACATGATAAACAGGAAGCACAAAATAAATGTCACCATTTATACATATTTTTAAATATAATTAGATATTAATTACCCATACGTATCTATGAAGCAACAGTATAAAATGTAGACTGGAAAGTTATTTCTTTTTTATAGAAGGGAGAAGAATGGGGAGTATAAGGAACTTATATTTGAGACTTTATTATTTTATTAAAATCTGAAGTAGTTATTATCATAGTTAGGCCTGCTCCTGACATTTGCAGGACTCAGTATAACAGTACCAATGGAGACCTTGAACCACGCATAAATATGTGAAAGTTATAAATCAAGCTAGCACAGAATTCTGTCCCTTCATGATGACACCTTCATAAAGTCTGGTGCGCTTCCTGATTCCTGGCTTATTTGAAGGCCTCAGCCAGAGCAAGGCAGCATGGGAAGGAGCACACTCCCTGGACACCCTGTCTTTGCTTCAGAACCCCAGCTCTGCCCTGCACTGAGGGCATCTGCACACGTATGGTGTGGTAGACATCCCAGCCCACACATCCAGGTTCTGTTCACACCCCCATGCAAAAAGCACCCCTTGGCCACCCCCACAGGCCTGGGGCATGCACACTGGCTACATGGTCTACTTTTAGGGGGATGGAGCTCAGGATGAAGTCAAGTTAGCCTTGGATGCAGGCCTGGGACTTCTAGGGTCCCAAATAACTGAGGTGGTGGACGGCAGGCCTGGGCCATGGGAGGAGGTACCTCCTTGGCTGTGGACCCCTCACCGTGTGTGGAGGAAGGGCTGTGGCACAGCGTGGGTTCCTCTGAAGCAAGATGTCGCATTTTTAAATAATATTTCATTATAGGCTGAGCGCAGGGGCTCATGCCTGTAATCTCAGCACTTTGGGAGACTGAGGTGGGTGGATCACCTGAGGTCAGGAGTTCAAGACCAGCCTGGCCAACATGGCAAAACGCCATCTCTACTAAAAATGCAAAAATTAGCCAGGCGTGGTGGCGGGCGCCTGTAATCCCAGCTACTGGAGAGGCTGAGGCAGGAGAATCGCTTGAACCTGATAGGCGGAGCTTGCAGTGAGCCGAGATTGCGCCACTGCACCCCAGCCTGGGCAACACAGCAAGACTCTGTCTCAGAAAACAAAAAGAAAAGAAAATCATCATAAAAAAAGGAGAGAGAGAAAAGCGTTCCCCACTCTAGGCAGCATCTGCCAGCACAGGAGCCCTGCCAGCGAAGCCCCATCTGACCTTTGTCAAGTTATTTGACGCAGCTGAGTCTGTTTTCTCACCTGCCTGGTGAGAGACCAACATGTGTAATTTCAATGACCCCTCCCATTCCTGAGGATCTGTGACATTCTCATAAGACCCATCATGAGCTTCTGGGATGGCCAGCGTGGTTCAGGGGGCACGTCCCTGTGGTCCGGGGTATGGGGGCAGAGCTAGTCCTGCATGGTCCTCAGCTTCAGAGGAAGTGATGTATCGGGTGCCCATTATGTCCCCATGTGGGACCTGGCTGGTGAGGCTACCTTGGGGCCAGGCAGGGGGAGGAGCCCACTTTATTTTGTGCAGGGGTCGTGGCCAGTGCTGGGAACGTGTTGGACAGGGAGGACAGGTCCTTCTCTATACCTGCCACATTCTGAAACCAGGCAGCACAGGGAGCTGCGGACAGTCGGTGATGGCAGCTACACAGAGGGACAGGTGCCCCGGGCTCGCTCCTCCTGTGTCTGCACATCCGTGCCATCCAGGGCAATTGCTCAGCCGGACCCGGTGAGATTAACTTGGCCCATGGAAGAAAGAGGAGAGGGGAGGGAGGACCAGTGTGAAAGAAGGGAGAGAGTATTTTTCTTCCTCAGCCATGAGATGTTTTGCCAAGCTTAGCTAGCTGAGGCTCACCCTTAATTGGTGATGAATTAAACATTGTTATTTCAACCAAGGCACTCAGAAAAATGCCCTCTCTTGGAAATTCAAAATGAACTTCAGCTCAAAGAACTGTGAAGAACAGCCAGGGCCCCCCTCCTCTTTTGATGGCCCTTGGGGAGCTAGGCGGGTCTGCAGTCATGGGAGGGGCCTCCTATAGTCGAGGCAGGGAGGTACATGGGATTCCAGCACCTGCAGCTTCTTCTACAAGTCTGTATGTCCTCACATCCCCACAAACGCCATGGGGGCTGTATTTGTCTGCCTGGGCTGCCATAGGCTGTGTGGCTTCAACAGCAGAAATTGAGTTTGTCACAGTCTGGAGGCTGGAAGTCCAAACTCGAGCTATCTACAGATTGGTTTCTTGTGCAGGCGCTCTCCTTGGCTTACATGTAGCTGTGTGCTCCGTGGTCTTCCCTCTGTGGGTGCCTGTGTCCTCATCTCTTCTTATTAGGACAGCACCCATGCTGGATTAGGGCCCTCCCTGATGACCTCATTTTACCTTAATTACCACTTTAAAGGCCCTGTTTCCAAATACAGTCCCATTCTGAGGTACTAGGGGTAATGACTTCAACATGTGAATTTAGAGGGGACATTCAGCTCATAATCTATTATGCCTCTAGGTCACTGGCAAACTCCCATAATGACAAGTGAAATGACAGCCTGATAGTAAAAATCAAAGCACTTTGACCTGCCTGGGCGGTTTTCAAGCAGTCCCTTTGGGTTTATAGAAATAAACAGACTGGGCATGGTGGCGCACGCCTGTAATCCTAGCACTTTGGGAGGCTGAGGCGGGAGGATCACTTAAAGCCAGGAGTTTGAGACCAGCTTGGGCAGCAAAGCGAGGCCCTGTCTATACAGAAAATGTTTACAATTAGCCAGGTGTGGTAACGCACACCTGGAGTCCCAGCTACTCAGGAGGCTGAGGTGGGAGAATTGCTTGAGCCCGGGAGTTCGAGGCTGCAGTGAGCTGTGATTGTGCCACTGCACTCCAGTCTGGACCACAGTGAGACCGCAGCTTTTTAAAAATTAGAATAGAAATAGCCAAGCTCCCGAACAGTTCCACATTTCTTCACAGCGGTGGCAACCTTGAAGCGAACAGGTTCAGGAAAGGCAGGGACTGCTCCTTAGGCGTCTGTTTTGGAAAACTCGCCTTGACTTTTCAACGGGGTTCAAAATAATCAAGTTCTGCAGAACGAAACTGGGCTGTGGCTGGGGTCCTGAGGACCCCGCGGGGCTCCCACCCCGTGCAGGCAGGGGGCTGCATGCAGGAGTGAGCAGCTGAGCCCTTTACCCGGAAACAGGCCTCTCCTTGCAGAAGTGGCCTGAAAAGCCCAGGGTCCCGCGGGTATGGACCGGGCACAGGCACGTTTCTCACCACAGGGAGCCAGCAGCGAGGTGCCCAGATGGCAGGTGCTGGAAATCACGGGCAGCTGGTGAAGCACCAAGCCTTACCCGACGTGGGGAGGTGATCCCCACCTCACCCCACCCCCTTCTGTCTGTCTCCTTGTACAACCCGAGTGTTCAGGTGAGTCGAGACTGACGCGCTTGCTTTATCTGCAGGGTGAACGAGCGCGACCGCCTAATCAAGAGGCTGGGCCGGAAGACGCCCCCGACGCTGTTCCGGGGCAGCTCCCTGCAGCAGGGCGTCCCGCGTGAGTACGGCGGGCGGGGCTGATGGGGAGTGGGTGTCGGTGGCGTGGGGGGGGGGGGGGGTGATGGGGAGTGGGTGTCGGTGGAGGGCGGGGGTGATGGGGAGTGGGTGTCGGTGGAGGGCGGGGGTGATGGGGAGTGGGTGTAGGTGGAGGGCGGGGGCTGATGGGGGGCTGGGTGGGTGCTGATGGGGGTTGCGGGTGGGGCGCGCGTTTGGAAGTGGAACTGCAACATGTGTATTTGGCCCCAGGAACGTGCAGCCTGAGTGTAGGTAATTCCCTGGGACCACAAAATCCTTAAATCCTAATGTGTTTATGATCCTTCCATCAGCCTCCCAAGAGGACTTTTTTAAGGTTGAAGCAGTATGACCTTTAAACTGTTGCGCCTAAAGCTAGCGACATGAACTGTTTTGTGTAGTATTGCCATATTGATTGAAACAGTGACCATCATTGGGGAAGAACATCATGCTTCTCCCAGGAAGGCTGCCCCACGTCTAAGGCTGACGTCCCCCTGCCACCCCCGCCCTCACCTCCGGATTCCAGAGGAGAGTGGGAGGCTGTGAAATATCCCCTCTCCCCTGTCCCAGACTTTGGAGCTCGGCGCGGGGGAGCTCGTGGGCTTGTTTTTAGCAATCCAGCCATCAGATCCCAGCTGAGGCAGATCCAGGCCACCTTCCCCAGGGCCAAGGCCAACCCAGCCCTGCCTCTCTGGGTCCTGCGGCCTTCCCCAGCCCCTCTCCACCCCCATCACATGCACATGCCAGCTTTTCCTCCCATACCTACTCCCTGCCTCCCTTTCCCTTCCCGAGGAGTTTAGAGGGAAACTGGCAGAAAGAGATGAGTTGGGTCGGATGCGGTGGCTCACGCCTGTAATCCTAGCACTTTGGGAGGCCGAGGTGGGTGAATCACTTGAGGTCAGGAGTTCAAGACCAGCCTGACCAACATGGTGAAACCTCATCTCTATTAAAAATACAAAATTAGCCGGGCGTGGTGGCCCCTGCCTGGAATCCCAGCTACTTGGGAGGCTGAGGCAGGAGAATCACTTGAACCCAGGAAGCGGAAGTTGTGGCCAGCCAAGATCATGCCATTGCATTCCAGCCTGGGCAACAAGAGTGAAACTCCATCTGAAAGAGAGAGAGAGAGGAAGGGAGGGAGGGAGGGAGGAAGGAAGGAAAGAAGGAAGGAAGGAAAGGAAGGAAGGAGAGAAGGAGAGAGAGGTTTATGAAAGTGAAGAATCACTGTTCACACAGTACAGGCAGTGAAGGATCTGTGTTCAGTTGAACTCCGCCTGTCAACAGGTATTGGCAGATTCTCTCAATGGAGAGAGAAGGAGGGAGATAGAATATCATTGCTTTTTAGTGATCTACTCCCTGTCCTCACTTTGCCATGTGGAATATCGTATGGGAAGAAGGGGACTGACATGTTTCTGTCCTTTAATGCTCCACTGCCCTGGGAGGTGGCTAATGCCACCCCAAGGAGACAAAGCAGAGGCTCGGGTCAGAAAGTGGTTGGCCCAGCATTGCTCAGTGGCATGCCATGAGGTCTGGATTGCAGCCTCAGACTCTGGCCCAAAAGAGAGGTCAAGTCAAGAGGTTTGATGGGACAGGAGTGCTAACTGTAGGGCAGCCCTCTGGAGATGGGCTGCCTGGGTTCCTGTCCCTGCCCCCCTACTTTTTTGTGACTTTGGGCAATTTACTTAATGTCTGCTTCTGCATCTGTAAAGTTGGGTAATATGAGAACTTACTGGACGCTAGAGGTCCAGTGCACCCACAGCTGCACAGAAAGCCAATCACTGAGACAACAGTTATTGCCAAGGAAGAAGACTTTATCTGGTGCTATAGCCAAGGAGGTGGCAGATTAGTCTCAAATCCATCTCCCTGACTGACTAAAATTAGGGGTTTATATAGCAGGGAAGAAATGTTAGCAATGTGTAAGAAAACAGGAATCAGGATGGGTAAGGAAGCAATCAAGATTAATGAGGGGCTTAGCATCTCATTGTCTGGATGAGATCATTGGGTGAGTTTCAGATCTTTGCTGCTTTTTGAGAGGCCTGGGGGTCCTTACCGAGGAAGGAACTCAGATAAAACAAATATAAGTGTCAAGCTTTAAGCCCAGAAGGGTCATTTCTATGTTAAAAAAAGAAAAAAAAAAAAAACTGTCTGTGGGACTATTGGGTCAGTTTCAATTAGGAGGATTAAATGAGATCATAAAGATAAAGTACCTAGAACAGTATAGGCAATATAGCGTTCAATAAATGTTGGGTATTATTTTTCTGTCATTAGCTGAATAATTTTGGGAAACTTAATTTCTCTAAATTTTTATTTTCTCCTATGGAAGAAAAAGAATGTTAATGATATACATCTTACACAGTCCTTGTGAGTCTTCATGACAGTAGGTGTAAAGCACCTTCTGTATGCCAGACACAGAGAAAACACATACAGGTTCCCAGGGTCTGTTCTGTGGAGCCGTGTTGCCTCTCTGATGAATGTTTCAAAATAACCATAGACAGAATATACACGAGATATATATTGTGATCAAAGACCAAATGAGAATTTTTATGGGAGAGTCATAAATGTCTTAAGACAACTACTAAATGCTTTTCTTAAGTCAATATTTGGAAGGCCAAAAAAAATCTACTGAATAAATATAAGAAATAAGAAGGCTTCTAAAATCACACCATATTTTTTAAACACTCAGTGACTAGTACCAGAACCTGATGGATAACTTAGGACATTTCTGTCACTAATAGCCAGAGAAGATCATCGGGTGGTCAGAGCTGGTCCTGGGGTGCAGGACGGGCATATAGCAGATCTCAGCCTTTTATGTTCCCCCTGGGTCTGTCCAGGAAACTGGCAGGAAAAACTCTAATCTTGGTAGTATTTTAGTTCCTGTGAGCCACCAACATACAATATTTGTAATCAGCATTTCCTACACAGTCTGATTTCCTCATTGTCCCCATGGTCTTCTCATTTCTATGGCTATTAGGAATCTTTCCAGACAGGAAACTGCTATTTTCATTAAGATGCTATCAGAGCGCAGATTCAAAGGAATGCTACTTAAGGGGAGTTTTATTCCAAAATAATGAAAAAAAATGACATGATTGTATGGATTTTACCAAATGTTCTACCCAGAGAAGACAAAACAGCTAAGAAATCCATCTATCTTCCCACCTCCTTTCACCTACACAATTCCATCCTCCATTCTGGCTGTGGCTATTTAGAAAGCAGATGCTTTAGGAAGCCAGCCAGGGAAAGTTCAGTTAGTTGGGTCCATGAGAGCTCCCTCCAGGCCCCCATCAGGACTTTCTGGCTGCTTGGACTTCCTGAAGGATGAGTGAAAGTGGGGGGTGCAAAGACCTGGAGGCTTCCTCTGAGCTCCCTGTTTGGATGCAAATGGCAGTTAAAGGTTCAGGAGGCAGAGCTGGGAGCAGGTCTGTATCTTCCTCAGGTGGGACGGAGGCTGGGCAGGCAGGGATGGTTGAGGGGTGATGGTGTCTGGTTTTCCAGTAAAACTCCTCCTGTGACAGCTCTAACTCCCACCAGGCCTGTTTTCTAAGAGGAAAATGTTTTATCTGAACCTGGGAGGACTCCCTCTCCCAAGATAAACGTATCAGGCCATCCTCCTTTCACTGTTGAATTGTAGACTCCACTTTCATTCTTGGTTAAGGTTAAGAAAGTCTTAGCGTACAACATGCTGGAAATGTGGCGGTGGGTGCGAACAATGGGAACTAGGGAGGATAGTGGGAGACATTTAGCACAGACCTCGGGGTGCTCTACTTACCCTGGGAGGTTTACAACAGGAGGGGGAACTCTTCTCTGCCTGTCTCTTCAGAGGAAAACCTTGAAACCCTTCCCACCCCGGGGGGCCGAATTACCCGCTGCAATCCCGTGGGAGGCCCCTGTGGCTGCGGCACTAATGCACACAGAAGAAGTGACAGAGTTATGAGCTGAAGAAGCCCCCGGAGTTGGGTTTCCAGCAGACACAGGCATGTTATGGAAAACAAGATAAATAGAAGAAAAAAGCTTTTGCACCTTCCATTTAAACAGGAAGTAGACTATTCCAAAGGCTAAGATACCTTTCCCAAAAGGACACTCCCAAATTTATTTTTATGTCTCCGTGAGCTCCCCACAACCAGGAGAAAAAAGCAGGCCAAAAGAGATATAATACGTAGTTAATTGTTCTTTTTGGACAGACTGTTGACACCAAACACCAACCCTTTCTTTTCTGGCATGGATGCGGAGGCCTCCATGTGGGTGCAGTGCGAACTGGTACTGACAGAGGGAGAGGATCCTGCAGCGTGGGTGTGACGGGCCATGAACATGTCCTGGAGCCCATAGAGAGGACTGGAGCTGGAGAGAACTTGTGCCTTCCCTGGTCCAAGCCATTTAATTTACAGAAAAGTACACCAAGACCCAGGGAGCTTAAAGAGCCCAAAGTCACATGGACAAGTAGCAGCAAGCAAGGACTAGAGCCACCCTTTGTTTCCTGGCCGCCACCCCGACCCCATGCTGCAGCCACTTGGGGCCCCCAGAATCTAAGATAAAAACAAGCAAGTGGAGAAAAACGTCTTCAGGGTGGAGAGCTCAGTAGTCCTCAGCCTGCCACTAGAAGAGTTTATAAAGAGTATGTCCAGTTCTTTGGGGTGACCGTTCCTTACTCAGAACCCCTTCAGTAGGACTGAGGAGCAGCCCTTGGGATGGTGCAGCAGCTGTGGAGCCGGTGGTGACCCTGCCATTGCAGCTGCTGTTCTGCCAGGCCCCCTCAGGAAGACATCAGAGGTGTACTAGAAACGTTCCTTATTAAAGAAGTGGAGAATGGCAATTGTCCAAGTTGACCACAGTACATAGCCTCGTTACTGGAGCAGATGAGGCCGTGTTATTTACCTTGTTACTGGAGCAGATGAGGCAGTGTTATTTGCTAGATTTTGCTTTGAAACATCCCAAGGAAAGACGTCTCCTCTTGGATCGCAGTAGAAAGGCTTCACAAGGACCTGCTTGTACAGGATTTGGGATGAGAGTGTGTGTGCCACACGGTGCCAGAGGGAGGCAGGAGGCTGGGGCAGCTCCTCCAAAGCCGGGCAACGGAGGTTTCCTTGTCCCGGCTGATTTCTGATTAAGCAACTTGGTGAAAATCCAAAAGCTCTTAGGAGAACAGGAGGGGTGGCCTTTGCTCTTCAGTGCTTGGAAGCAGATCCCGTGAAGGCTCTAAAGCCCTGAGTATCAGGAAGTTCAAGTGCGCTAGGTGTGGACCCAAGGCTGGAACAAGCATGTTCGCCTCCAAGGGAGCTCCCCTCCCGGCTGGTGCTGCCTTCAGGCTCAGGGACCCACCTGCTCCTGGTCCCAGCTATCTGGGGGCTCACACTGGTCTGGGAGCTGCTTCACTGTGGCTACCACGTGGTGGGAATGTTTGGGTTGTAGGTTTTGTTTTGCTAGAAATGGAGGTGAGCAAGTAGACAAAAGCCCCCTGTGGAGGATTCCTCTCTGTTCTGTTCGCCTGGCTCAGCTTGCATCACCTTCTCTCCCACCTACTGTCTCTTCCTCCCATGGCCTCACTGGCCTGGGCCCTCCTCTCTGCTGCTCAGCCCATGTCCTCAGTCAACTCTCAGGCCACCTCTGCGGACAAGCCCTTGCCTCCCCGGATAACCCCCTGAGCCCTCGGCATTCTCAGGCAGTGGCTGGAAGGCATGCCGTCTGGAAGAGCCGGAAAGCCAGCCCTGGACTGGGACTCTCAGTTATGGGAACACACAGAGTAAGAAAACAGCCTGAATGTCTTCTTTTAAAATCTCCTCCTCTTCTCCATCGCGCGAGGACTCTTCTGTCTTGTGACTGTACGTCTTGATACTCTAGAAATTTCCTTGTTAAGCCAGATGTCTGAGGAAATTAGCAGGCAGTCCAGGAACTGATACATGGGCACACTTTCCGACTTCTTTTCTCCTGTTAAAGAGTATGACAGTGAATTCACAGCTCCCCTGACAAGTTGTAAGCATGCACGGATGGAAGTCAAGATTGTCGGGTTTCGATTGTGCTGTCTTTTGGCCAGAATGTCTAATTGAGCTGTGGGGCTTTTCCAGACCCCTGACACACAAGGATTAGCCTACGGAGAGCGGGCCTTATACATGTCTTTCTGTGGGAAGGGCCAGTTGGAAGCAAAGCCCCACTCTGGGCTTGTGAACACTAAAGCCGTTTCTCGGCTGTAGAGTGTGGATCCTGGGTTTGCTTCCCAGCTCCGCCACGCATGAGGCCTGTGACCTTGAGCAGGTCACAGATATCTCTGTGCCTCAGTTTTCCCATCTGTGAAGTGGGAGGAATATAATCACCTATCTCATAGGGTTTCTGGGAGGATTAAATGAGCTCTATGTTATAGAACAGTGTCTTAGACACATGGCATTTCATGAGTCTTGGCTACTATTTATTTTATTAGTAGTATATGAACTGATTGTGTAAGAACCAGTCTTCCTGTGACGACAGGTCCAGTCAATCACTAAATTCCTTTTGACTTTATTGTGTGACCTTTTTCTTTCTTTACACGGAAACAACCCTACTTTGATTACTTATTACCAGTCCAGATCAGTCTTGATTTAAAAACAGGGCTGGGCGCGGTGGCTCACGCCTATAATCTCAGCACCTTGGGAGGCCAAGGTGGGCAGATTGCTTGAGGTCAGGAGTTCGAGACTAGCCTGACCAACATGGTGAAATCCCATCTCTACTAAAAATACCAAAAAAAAAAAAAATAGCTGGGCATGGTGGCGCATGCCTGTAGCCCTAGCTACTCAAGAGGCTGAAGCAGGAGAATTGCTTGAACCCTGGAGGCGGAGGCTGCAGTGAGCCAGGATCACGCCGCTGTACTCCAGCCTGGGCAATGGAGCAATATAGTGTCTCAAATAAATAAATAAACAAGAAGGCCCCGGGCATCACGTGCATTTTGCCAGCTTGCACTGTTAGTGTTGTGTGTGTTTTCCCTGGCATGTTTTCAGCTTCATAAATTAGCGGCTCTCCTGCGGCATCAGGCAGACGGGAGTATTTCCTCTTAACTGGCAGTGGGAAAGTGGAGATGGGGACCAGTGACCCACTGTGTATGATTCCCACCCTGAGCTCAGCCGCAGCCCCCTAGAAATAGGAAACGTACCCTCAGAGCCGTTCCCATCCCAGCATCAGCAGCGAGAACCATGGGACCCCAGTCAGCCTGCACACGGCCGCCACGGCCCCTCTATGGCCACAGGTTTCTTCATCTCAAGCCTCCAACTATCCAAGGCTAAGGAGGCCAGGTGTCGCACACCACTCACCCGCACGCTGCCAAAAAAGCAGCGTATTTAAACCTAGTGTGCTCCCCCAATTCTCCTGTTAACCAGTTTCTCCTGTGTGCTTCACTTTCAGATGGGTATGCTTTTTCTCAAGAAGAACACGGAGCTGTGAGTCAGGAAGAAGTCATCCGTGCTTATGACACCACCAAAAAGAAATGCAGGAAGAAGTAAGACTTGAATTTTCCTGACTGATCTTAGGAAAGAGATTCAGTTTGTTGCACCCAGTGTTAACACATCTTTGTCAGAAAAGACTGGCGTCCGCAGCCAAAACACCAGAAAACACATTTCTGTGGCCTTAGCCAAGCAGTTTGTTAGTTACATATTCCCTTGCAAACCTGCAAACCTGGAGTGTAGACCGCAGGGGAAGCTATCTTTGCCCTCCCAACTTGTTTGCAGCGCTTAGCCTAACTTTTGTTTACGTCGTTATGAAGCAGTCAACTGTGCTCTGTGAGGTGTGAAATTAAAAACATTATGTTTCACCAGTATTTAAACATCAGTACTAGTTGTCCTGGGAGAAAGGGAAAGTTTTATGTTGCGTGAGAAGCCCGTCTTGTGTAATTGGAGCAGGGCACACTTGCTTCCTGTTTGATTAACTCACAGATTACATCCAGCGGGCCACATGCAGACCTCACTGTAGGCAGGTCGCTCTCCTGCTTTGATTCCTGTTTTGTTTGTGTAAAGTTGGCATAAACTTCTTGATTGCAGTGAAATCACAAAATTCTATGTCGGGGTAGTCAACCTGAGAAGATTATTTGAACCTCTTAGCCACATTTGCAGCAGGGCAAACCGACTGATGCCCTGGCAGAGTCTTCCGCACCCTCTCCAGGTGCACTCGGCCCAGTCCCGCCGCCGTGTCCAGGCGTCCCTCACCCCGACACCTGCTGCATGGCTGGCCACGGCGCTCAGTGCATGGCGGCTGGTGGGCAGCCAACCCAAACCTGCGCCTTTCCTTGTTCCACTGCAGACTCGGAAACAGATGCGAAAAATTCCTTCTTCCGCCGCCCTTTTTGTTCTGTAAAGAAAGAAAAGAAGCATCGCCTTTCCGCATATATTCTAAATGTCTCTGCCTCTGTCTGACATGGGGCCGCCCCACAGGTCAGAGCGGTGGTAGAACCCCTTCAGCACTCCCAGCCGTGGTCAGGCTCTGAATACTCCCTTCCCAACAGCCAGACTGCTGGGTCTTTGGCATCCACTTACGTTAGAACCCACGCTTCTTTCAGAGCACATTTTGGACTTTCACTGTTGGGAAATGAATGAATTTCTAACATGCCCGTGCAGCGAAGGAGCACACCTGTCGCTCTTAGCTCTAGAGTCAGAGGATGAGTAAACCCAGATGCGAGAGTATAGGACATTGAACGGGGAGAACAAGACGACCACAGAAGTCCTCAGAAGGAGAAGGAAGGGCACGGAAGACAGTGAGAGGAGGACACAGAGGAATCGCCACCAGATCTCCGCAGTAGAAACTCTGAAACGAACCCTGAGACCCAGACAGTTGTCATGATCAGCCCAGTGTGTATGAGAGCTTAAACAAGAGCTTCACACGCAGTTTTAATTGAAAAGAATTCCAAACATTTCAGGGAAGCACCTTTTTTTAAATACACCGACATGTTTCCTTTCTGTATCCCATCAGTGTTAGACACAGGTACCCATCAGAATACGGCATATCCTGAATTCTGAGACAAGGAAGCAAAGTGCTGAATCACTGATTTTCCCAACTGCAGAGTCCCACACTCTAAATCTTAACCAAACCTAGATGCCTTCAGGCATGAATGTGAGCATCTGGAGCCCTTACTAAACAACCTGCCTGGACCCTGTTCTCTGCTCTGGTTGCCAGGCCAGATTTTTGGATGGCCTGAATACTTCTGGGCAGCTGTTACTGGTGAAAATGGGAGTTCAGAGCACGTTTTGGATCTTCACTGTTGGGAAATGAATGAATTTCTAACATGCCTGTGCAGCGAAGGAGCACACCTGTCGCTCTTAGCTCTAGAGTCAGAGGATGAGTAAACCCCGTGGGGATGATTGTGCTAAATTAGGAAATAGCACATTAGTGCACTTTGCTTCCTAACCCTTTATTTTCAGAAATGTACAACTTACTGGGCATGGAAATCATTTAAAACATGATTTGCATTGACTAAGAAAACAAATCCTCACTTAGGAGGTGACCAGGATGCAGAGAGGGCCTGAGGGGCAGCAGAACAATGCAGTTCACAGGTGAGGCTCCCAAAAGGGCCATTCCTTTCTCCCCAAGGTGCATAAAACATTTTTAAATACTGGAGTGCCCAGTGAGACTGAAGGATTGTCATGCAGGAACTGTAACACAAAATGTGCCTATGACTAACACGACAAACCAAGGTGTATGGGTTTTTTTTTTGCACACCCAGAAAGGTGATGGCCAAAACACAGAGGAGAAACGAAAACTGGAATTGAATGCGCATTAGGCATCGTAACTATTAATATTTTGTTTTATTTGGGAAATAAGCCTATTTGGAAAGAGTGGATTAGAAATTCAGTTCTTTGTCAAACAGTTAGCTCTGTCTTGAACTTGAAGCCTTCCAAATCAGAATTATGAATTTGTGTGTTTGTGTGTGTTTGGGGTTTTTGTTTTTATTTCTTACATTAGAGTTCATATTTTCTGGGATTTAAATTATAGGTGTATTTTCCTATTCTCTTGAGAAGTAGACTAAACAGTCTTTGCAATGATGACGGATGCACACAGAAGAAAACATTAGAAGACATTACTTTCTATCCTCTCATGTGGTTGAGCATTCTTACAGCCAAATGACTAAATTGGGTTTCTAGGAGGAGCAGCTGTCACTACATGTGATATATAATGTTTAGCCAGGGCCAACTCAGGGGCTGTGTCATTTGTCCTATCTTCAAATTGAGGTCAGAGTGTCACACACAACCCCTTCCCTGGGGCAGAGTGGACTGGACTAGGTTGCATACGCTGGCTGTCAGCTCAGCGAAAATGCCACATGGGGCTTGTCACTCTGCCACACACTAACTGACTCACAGGCTGGCAGGTCACACTCGGTTAGCGCTCCAGGGCCTGACTCTGGATTGAGCTAAACTGGCAGAATCCACTTAGGCCAACCCTTGGTCTACTGCTGTACACTGCCCAGTCCTGTGTTGAGTCTCTCTTGTCCTGGATGACCCTGCAGAAGGAAGAGACCAGTTATGCTCTGGGCTCAGTTCTGCGTTTCCACTGCACATGGATACGTGCCAGCAAGGGTAGCTGTGGAAAACACGGATCAGGAGAGCAGGGTTGTCTGGTTTAATACTCCGTGCTGATCAGAACGGGCTCGCTCATAATTTAGGAGTGGAGCTGATGGGTCTGTCCTGCCTCAATGCAGAATATTCCAGGCTGCTTGACCACGGTTATGTCCGCCCACCTCCCAACACACACGCGCACGTGAAGACAAAAACGTGGTAACTCTTTTGGTTCTGTACACCGTACAAAACGTGCTTTGGAGCAAGGAGTGCTGTTTCTTTAACACTTGTAGAGGACTATCCTGAGAAGTGAACCTGGGCTTTCGGAGAGCTCAGCTGAGAATTCTGTTGACATTTTCTTTCCCTTGACAAGGCTTCAGGTCTGTCTCACTATGGGGAGCTGGCTGTGAAAATCAGTAATAACTTGTCAAGAAGTGGTGAAAAGGGGGGAAAAGTGAGTCTAGGTAACTAATGTCTTATAATGCATATATAAGTAAATATTGCAGGCTTTAAGGTTGAATTTTGTAAAAAGAAAGCTGTCGTCTATAATTTCCATTTGTTATAATAATGACCTTTAATCTTGTTGTTTGGAACCATAAAGCATTTTTATCAGGTACTTCTGTTCCAAGGGATTTATGTCTTAGACTATAGCTGAATTGAATGTTTGCAAAACTCTGCTATAGGATAAGGTGGTCTTTAGTTTTGAACGTGTGAAAAGACTGCACACTCTTCAACCAGGATTTGAGTTACTGCCCAGGGTCATTGTCTCAAAGTAATTCAAGGAGTGATTTAACTTCAGCATTTGAAATGTAGCCTTTATCTCCTGGGATCCATAAAAAAATGTGAACAGGGAAATGGTGGCTAAGCAGAGCCTGAAACAATAACTTGGCAAAGAAATGCGTTTATCAGATCGAGTCAAAACATGGCATCCCCTGTTACATTCAAGAAATGCTTTCTTCATGTAAATGTTTACACGGACGTAATAATAACGATGGGGACAGTTAAAACCCCCTCCCTTCAAAAAAAGGAAATCTACATCAGTTGGGTTTGTTGTTGGTTCTTCATTGGCTCAAGGCAGTTAACCGGCTCATAATAGCCTTGGGGGAGATTATTTAACCTCATTCTAGCCATTTTTCCATCTCGAAGGCCAAGAAGGACTATTAGAAGGGTTTTGGATGGGTTTCGGAGGTGAGGGCCCAAGACCCCCATAATGACATCATTAGGTATCCTTGAAAGGAACAGACCAGCATGCTCGATGTGTTGTACCCTTCATTTATTTATTTTTTCTCAGTATCCCAAGTTGTCCATCAGTACATTCCCCTTCACCTTACCTGATGTTCACTTAATGCCCAGTCTGTAACTAATGTTCTGTTTAAAGCTCTCTTAATTTGTTGGCTATGAGTGATTTGTGAATCCGGGATGTAACCCTGAGTGAGGAGAAAAGAGCATTGAGCCAACATAAATCTTAACGGGCAGAAGCCACAAACAAATGGGAGCAGAAAAGAAGGGCGAGCTCCCCGCACCGCACCCCTTGTATAATCCAGCGTTAAGTTAACCTCCGAGGAACACCTCGGCTCTCCCGACCGAGGACGGACAAAAGAGGGATTCTTTTTACACCCAGGCTGGTGCGTTTTCAAGTGACAGTCTCTGGCTCTAGTTGCCCTTGAGATATCCACTCTGCTCTTTCTCCCAGGCCTCAGACCAAGAAAAACATGCTCTCAAGATTAGCCCATAGGCAGTTCTTGTGACCTGGCTGAAGAAAGAAAGGAGACCTGTTTGTTTTAAAAGTCAGGCGCAAAGTGTCAGGTAGCTTTGATTTACGACAGAAAGAGGAAGAAGAAAGTTGGAGTAATAGCACTGTCCAAATAACCCTGCCCAGGAAACTTGGGGGTCAAGAGAGCTTATCAAGAGCCTTTTATAGGTAAGCTCTTCCGTGTGAAAGAGAAAAGGCCGGAAAGAGGGAGAGAGCCCAGAGAGCCGGCTGTGAACTCACTTCCAATGGGATTGGAGTCTGTTGCATTCCTAGAGATAGCCTGATATATGGTTTATAGCTGAATCAATAAACACCACCAAAAAAAAAAAAAAAAAAAGAAAAAGGAAACCTGCCCTGTCGTGGAGTTTCTCTCTTTCCCTGCACAGTAAAGACTTTTGGGTTTTCGTGGATAAAATCAATGTCAGTACTGAAACTCACCCTCCTCTCCTGCCGCACTCTCCCCCGTTGCCCAGGATGGCCAAGTTCAGGCCTATGCAGTGCCGCTTCCCTCTGAGCCTCCCTCTCGAGGGCCATGCAGGCAGCCGCAGCAGGGCCAGCTGCAGGATGGGGCTGCAGGTCACTGAACTGTCGTTCAAATACATCATATTTGTGGCCTCTTTCTCATGCGAGCAAAGCCGTGTGCTCTCCTGTCTGCTGTCACATCTGTGCCTGGACTGCGTAAATACTGTTTGCGACGGGGAGGTTTTAATCTGGTTATGCAGAGGGAAGCAGGGCGGTGGGGGCACGTTTAATTGGCTCCCAGCAGAGTGGTGAGCGCTTCTATGGTGTGTGGGGCTTTTTGTTCCCTCCCTCTAGAAGTGTTACCGTTTTCACGTCCTCTTAATGTCCTCTGGTTGTTAAATTACAGCAGCACATTATAGTGCACTGGGTTCCCTCCTGGAGTGAATAAATGAAGGGCATCTACTTGTGTTTTTAGAAGTTTTGGGAGAATGTAGTGATTTGTGGCTTTGATCAATCCTGTTGACTGGTGTATGTCTGTGCAAACCTGTTTCAAATAAATTTTTTGTTAAAGGAAGTGATTGGACTGTTTTATTTTGGAATTTTCTTTTCCACTAATAAGCATTTACTGCCACAGGGACTGCGGCCTGTAACACAGGGGTTTGTCAGCAGGTGCAGGCTCAAGGACACGTACACTGCCTGGAGAGCCGAGGCCCAGGCAACAGTGTTCACTGGCAGGAGCGCAGGAGAGTCTGAGTAGCAGATGAACACGTGCTGTTTTCTCTGAGGCAAGGCCCCCTTTTCTTTTCTTTTCTTTTCTTTTCTTTTTTTTATTATTATACTTTAAGTTCTAGGGTACATGTGCATAACGTGCAGGTTTGTTACATATGTATACTTGTGCCATGTTGTTGTGCTGCACCCATCAACTCGTCAGCACCCATCAACTCGTCATTCACATCAGGTGTAACTCCCAATGCAATCCCTCCCTCCTCCCCCCTCCCCATGATAGGCCCCGGTGTGTGATGTTCCCCTTCCCGAGTCCAAGTGATCTCATTGTTCAGTTCCCACCTATGAGTGAGAACATGCGGTGTTTGGTTTTCTGTTCTTGCGATAGTTTGCTGAGAATGATGGTTTCCAGCTGCATCCATGTCCCTACAAAGGACATGAACTCATCCTTTTTTATGGCTGCATAGTATTCCATGGTGTATATGTGCCACATTTTCTTAATCCAGTCTGTCACTGATGGACATTTGGGTTGATTCCAAGTCTTTGCTATTGTGAATAGTGCCGCAGTAAACATACGTGTGCATGTGTCTTTATAGCAGCATGATTTATAATCCTTTGGGTATATACCCAGTAATGGGATGGCTGGGTCCTATGGTACTTCTAGTTCTAGATCCTTGAGGAATCGCCATACCGATTTCCATAATGGTTGAACTAGTTTACAGTCCCACCAACAGTGTAAAAGTGTTTCTATTTCTCCACATCCTCTCCAGCACCTGTTGTTTCCTGACTTTTTAATGATTGCCATTCTAACTGGTGTGAGATGGTATCTCATTGTGGTTTTGATTTGCATTTCTCTGATAAGGCCCCCTTTTCTAGAAGGGAGTCCAGGGGGCCACACTGAGTTTGGATTCAGTCGCTCAAAGGAAAGAATGGTGTTTACAAGACCTCCTTCTTCCATTACTTCCTTCCCTCTAATTCATCTCAGTTGGCTACAAACTAAGAAGGAGGCAGCTCAAATTCAACTGGCAAGCAGGAAATCATAACATTCTTACTTTAAAAAGAAGAAAGACCACCCCTGCCCTTTCTCTCTAGGAACAAGGAGTTGCGTTCAGGTAAATATCCATTGCCTCCAGGGTCCCTGTGATGCCTCAGCCAAGGCAGCCTCCTCGCACCTGGGATAAGGTGGGAGGAAGCTGGGGGGCCCAGATGTTGGCCCCTTGCCTGGCTTTGTGTGGGTAGCTCTATACTTCCCCAGCAGGGTGTGACCCGGGGATGAAAGACAGCCTTTTAGATGACAGTTCTCTGTAGAGGCTTGAGCCTGGTTCCCAAAAGACTTCTTAATTGCACTCTGAATTTATAGCAATTTTCCATAGCGGACTTTGATTCCTCCCAGATGGTCCAGTTCCTATGAGACCTGGATTTGACCAGCCCAGGGCAGTCCTGACCTCAGTGACGGTGTCCCAGGCATGGCAAGGACACGGGAGGCCTCACTTATAGGCAGAAAGTTCTACAGTTTAGAGCTCACCAGGGAAGGGCTTTCATCTCCTGTTCTACATTGGCCAGGCCTTTCTTTTCCCCCAATGGTGAAAAAATAAAAATGATTTAATACAATCAACAGCGAAGTGTTAAATTCCAACCTTTGCCATTTCTTGGTCATATCTTTACAACATCTGCCTTTGCAGCTGCAATGGTTTTCCTGAAATGTCATTCTTCACTGGCTCTCAGCAAAATAAACTCAAACCAGTAAGAGGCCCTTATCAGCTGAAAACAGTTTGCAGACCCTAACCTTTCTGCCTAAAGCAATGTTCTTTGTAATGATGTCCTCCGAAAAAGTCTCAGGATACTTTGAAAAATCGTTCAGCTTCTGCTACTATTTTCAAAATGTTTATTATGGAAGAGACATATGTAATGTGAGGGGTTAAAGTGTATAGCAAACTTGTCCAACCTGCAGCCCAGGACAGCTTTGAATGTGGTCCAACATAAATTCATAAACTTTCTTAAAACATTATGAATTTTTTTTTTTTTTTTTTTTTTGACACAGAGTTTCGCTCTTGTCGCCCAGGCTGGAGTGCAGTGGCACGATCTCGGCTCACTGCAACCTCTGCCTCCCGGGTTCAAGTGATTCTCCTGCCTCAGCCTCCCGAGTTGCTGGGATTACAGGCGTCCGCCACCACACCCGGCTAATATTTTGTATTTTTAGTAGAGACAGGATTTCACCATGTTGGCCACGCTGGTCTTGAACTCCTGGCCTCAAGTAATCCACCCACCTTGGCCTCCCAAAGTGCTGGGATTACAGGAGTGAGCCACCGCACCTGGCCAGTGTTACTGTATTTTATGTGTAGTCCATGACAATTCTTCCAGTGTGGCCCAGGTAAGCCAAAAGATCAGACACTCCTGGGTGTATGGCAGAGCAACAGGGCATGTGACGTGGGACTGCTCTGCCTCTGATACCTTCCACCTCATTCTGTCCCACACGTGAGTCATTTGAGGGAACTTTCCAGCTCTGGTTGGAATGCCAAGCAGTTAATGTTAACTGGGGCTACAGATGAGGCTCTGGGACTTGATTACCAAAGGGGGACAAAATAAAACCCTTCCACCTACTAAAGCGACAAGCACCAAACACATCTGGTCCACCTCAAAAGCATTAAGCTTTCATTTATGAAAAGTAGGCCATGCACATAAATAAGATGATTTAAAATTCCTGAGGGTTGGTCTCAATGCTCCGTCTTCAGCTGTTCGTCCCTCTCTACAATAACTGTTGTTGACTTAAGATTCCAGAGCAATGGCTGTTTCAAGAAAGGGTGCGCAGGTGATCTCTAAAGCAACAGCACTAGCCTGAACCTTGGAATTGCATGGTCTGCCCTGGGAGTTTCTATATCACTTACTAGATAGTTAACAAAATGTAATGCTACTGGTACTCTCTCGTCTACTCTAAAAAAAAAAAATGGGTTTCGATTTGAAATATTCTAAATTAATTGCTGAGAAACCTTTCTTCCTGATTTTCCCCAATTTTTTTTTTTTTCTCTGAAATGGAGTCTCACTCTGTCGCCCAGGCTGGAGTGCAGTGGTGCCATCTCTGCTCACTGCATCCTCTGCCTCCTGAGTTCAAGCGATTCTCCTGCCTCAGCCTCCTGAGTAGCCGGAACTATAGGCACCACCACTGCACCCAGCTAATTTTTGTATATTTAGTAGAGACGGGGTTTCGCCATGTTGGCCAGGCTGGTCTCGAACTCCTGACCTCGTGATCCGCCCGCCTCGGCCTCCCAAACTGCTGGGATTATAGGCATAAGCCACCGCACCCGACCTTCCCCCAACTTTTAAAACTGGTGTACGATTAAAAAGCTCTTATGCCTGGCAGGGCGAAGTAGCTCACACCTGTAATCCCAGCACTTTGGGAAGCCGAGGCAGGCGGATCACGAGGTTAGGAGTTCGAGACCAGCCTGGCCACTATGGTGAAACCCTGTTTCTACTAAAAAGACAAAAATTAGCCAGGTGTTGTGGCACATGCCTGTAGTCCCAGCTACTCAGGAGGCTGAGGCAGAAGAATCGTTTGAACCTGGGAGGTGGCGGTTGCAGTGAGCTGAAATCGCACCACTGCACTGCAGCCTGGGCGACAGAGCAAGACTCCATCTCAAAAAAAAAAAAGGTGGGGGTTCTCTTATGCCAACCTAACACATCTTGCCCTGTGACTGGGAGGCCAGATGGTTGTCACTTGTTACTGTTGCTTCCCGAGTGGCCTTAAGTGGAAGGTATGACTAGCTGTTAAGAGCTGAAAGAGAACAGCCCACAGCCCGCTAGCCACAAACAAAACTGTTAAGCTCACTTTTTTCCTTTCCCAGTGTCCTTAAGAGGAGCTGCCTGCAAATTACTTACAAAAATGGCTGCAGGAAAAGCCCTTGAATTTGTTTCAATATTACATATAAATTGCATGTGGTTGCAGAGAATGAGGTTGGGAGGCCCTTATTCAAGAAACTGCCTCCAAGCAATGTATTTAATACGGGTTAGCTGGAAAATGTCTTCATGCAATCCTACTTCCCGATTTATATGATGAAAACCCTGCTGTAATGCAGAGTGGAGAGCGAAGGGGTGCTCCACAGAAGCACCTGTCCTTGTGAGTGAGGGAGAACTAGTCAGACAGGATGCGCTTGCATTTGTGTGCGTGAGTATACACAGGCATACGTACCTGATAGTTCTATGGGAAAAAATGAAGTAAACCACTGTCCAGGAATACAAAAGAAAAAAATTCTAAACTTTCCCGCAAAGACCTGTTTCCGCAAGTCCATGGTGTGGTTCGTGTGGCAAGATGAACATTAGACTTGGAATCGGAATGATTGTGTTCCAGTACTTATTTGCCCAGTTATTAGCCTCGTGACCTTGAAGAAATCATTTCACTTCTCTGCACTTCATTTTCCTCACCTGCAGGACTGGGACGTTACCTTCCTACCTCCTCACAAGGTGATATAAACAGGGCTCACCTGCTGCATCCACACTGTAGTGGTACTATTACTGTTTGATCAATAGCTATTTCTCTTGTCAGTTAAGCAGTTGGGGCACCCACCACTACCTCCGGACCTTCCCACAGTCCAGCAATGAAGAGGTAATGCTGGTCATGGGGCCTCCTTACCGTGCAACACTCTTACTCTAGGTTCTGTTGCTGTCCACACAGGAAGCTAGTCGCTGAGACAAGAACTGCCAGGGAGGGCTGCAGTGAGGAGAATGGGAGATGAGTCTCAAACCCATCTCCTCTATAACTGAAATGTGGGGTTTATTAGCAAGGAAGAAATGTAACCACGTGTGGAATTAAGGAGGGGTAAGGAAGGGGAGCTGGTCAACAGGTAGTCTTAGGCAATC